GAAATGCAACAGATATGAGCTAAATGGTAACTACTACAAATACAAAATATGTGGTACAAATTAGAAAGCAAAAAAAATAACTTTCGTATATAATATGAAAATGGGCTAATTAAAAAAAGACAAAAAATAAATTAAAAAAAACAAATGGAAAACTTGAACAGAAAAAGTTGTGGGATGGCCAAAGTCAAAGGTCTCCAGAATCTCCGTCTTCACCATGAGCCCCACCGGAGAGATCCTCCACAAAAATCGGCGCCTCTCGCGGCGGACGGGTGACGTCATTACTCAACATAATCTCCGGCCCTTTCATAATAGCGAGGACCACACCGCCGAAGAGTGCCGAACGCGCGGCGGGAACGATGCCCTGGCGCATCCGAAGTAACCCTCCGGTGGCGGCGCCGGCTGCGATGAAGTTCAACGGATCCTCTTTCTGCCGCAGGTAAACAATCGAGCACTCGAAGGCGGACAGTAGGCCGCCCCACACGGCGCATTGGCCGCCGAGTTGGGGGGCGTTCATCAACGCGGTTTGCCAACCGCCGACTAGGCGCGTGCCCGTGGGATTACTGTTGAAACCCTTGAGGAAATGATACGCGCCGCCGCCGACGGCGCCGATGCCGAAGGCGCGGCCGATGACGTCAATTATGCGGCCTGGGCAAGACTCTCGTGGGGTATCATCATCAGGGCTTGCCATTTTTTTAACGGTCTGATTGAATTTGAAAGAAATTGGGGAAGAACGTGATTGGGTTGGGATTTGACCCATTTATAATTTATTATTATTTTTTTTTCTGTTTGATAATTTGGGTATATTATAACTACCCCTAAAGTATGGTCAAATTACGAACAAATCCCTCATATTTGGATAATTACAATTATCTTTAACTATGAATCTTCTTACAGAAATGTTCAAATTGAACATAATCTTCTAGATTCCGTGAAATGTTCTCTAGTTTGTACTCGTATTATGAAAAAAAATAGTTTATGATTCACCACAATTTGTTATATATACAAGTCAAAAATCACATATTGCTTCAAAATGTGGAGCCCGAATGGAATAAAACGGGCGACGAAGTTGAGAATATTCCATATGATCTAGAATATTCAAGTAAGTTTGACACTGCAAGGCATGGAGTATAAGAAGATTTATTGCTGAGGGTAATTGTAGTTACCCAAACATGAACGGGTTTTTTCGTAATTTGACCATATCACAGTGGTGTAGTTGTAAGTTACCCAAAGAACAATTGAATGAAACATTTCATTACATTTTAATACGAAAAAAAAAACAGTTTTCATCCCTCAAGTTTGCACCGGTTTCACTTTTGGTCCCTCATGTTCACAAAAAAACATATTTGGTCCCTCATATTATAAAAATTCGACACTTTTAGTCATTTTTATCAATTTTCCGTCAAAACTAATGGAATCAGGCGTTTTTCCACCACTTTCTTAATTGAAGGCTAATAGTAAATTGACGAAAATGACCAAAAGTATTAAATTATTGAAACATGAGGGACCAAATGTATTTTTTGTGAACATGAAGGACCAAATGTGGAATATATGCAAACTTGAGGGATAAAAAATGTAATTTTCCCCGTTTTAATATACAAAATAGGGTAAATTACACCCACACCGCTGAGGTATACTTAAATAATTTTAAGGTCCCTGTGGTATCGATAATTACAATCACCCCCTTGAGACGTAGTTATAAACTCCAATGGTATAATGCATTGGATGCGTTATTACGATAGAGTTCTAACGGACTATTGGTTTCAGAAAGTGGTGAAGACAACAAAGAGTTATGAGTGATTTAAAAAATATTGGGGGAGCCATGTCACCCCATAACTCCCCATAACTCTATGTTATCTCCACAACTAGCTAAAAGTAATAGTCCATTAGAACCCTATCGGAATAATGTATCCAATGCATTATCCCGTTAGAGTTTTTAACTACCTTTCAGGGGGGTGAGTGTAATTATCGATACCACAGGGACCTTACAGTTATTTAAGCATACCTCAGGGGTGTGGGTGTAATTTACCCTACAAAATAAAAAGAAAAAAAACAAACGACGTGGGAGGAAGTGTTATCCAAGTTAAACGACGCCGGATTGAGCGTTGTCTAACCCTCTTTCTTTCACTCGGTAGCTTCTACGAAAGAAGATAAACCCCAGCACAAAATCCCCGACGGAGAAACCTAAACCCTACCCTAGCCATGGCGCTGAATTCATGAAGGTTCGCATTTGCTTATTACGATTAGCATTAACGCTGCTTTACTTGTTCTACTCTTCGTTCAGATTTTATCGAATCAGTTCTAAATTCGACTGTTGTAGTAAGAATTCATAAATAAAGCATTCATTTTTATTTTTTGCTGTTGTCAAATTTGAGCTGGGTTTCTGAAGATTTGACCTTACCACTCTCTAGATACTGTAATATGGCGAAACCCGCATCGTTGCCTTTAGCTTTTAGGATTTCTTCGCGGCCAACGAAGATGCCGAAGCAGTTTATTGCTCCGAAGCCGATTTCGTTGATTGCCGGTTGCAATTTAATCCTCGGGTTGAATAAAAGGAACTCTGGGCAATTTCAATTTCTAGGGTCCAGAAATTGTGTGAGGAGTTTTTGCTCGAATTATTCGCTGTTGGGAATGAGGAGTTTCTCCTCCAATTCGTTTCGGGAGAAGGAAATCGAGAGTAGCGGAAAGCCCCTTCCTTGGCTAACCGCATCCATGGAAGCAAATCGAAGAAAATCCGTGAAAAACGAGACTAGCAAACCGGTGGTTGTTAGGTCTTCGTGGGAGGAATCTGCAGAGAAATTTCTAAAAACCAGTTCGCCTTCACCCGCTGCAGTAGAAAGTAGAGAAACTCGGAAATTCGAACCTAGGAGAAACGAATTTAGGACTAAAGATAGTTATCGAAACGATGATGAAGAAAACGAGGGGGATGCCGAGGTTTCCAGTGACCCGAAATGGTACAATATTAGAAGGAGGTACGATAATTACGTAGCCGTAAATCGAGGCCCCGATAGAGAGGATGTAAGGAGATGGAACAAGCAAGAAGATTGGGGTAGAAAGACGTGGAAAGAAGCTAAAGAGTCTTCACTCCCGAAAATGGTAGGAGAAGGTATCTACGGAGTGGGTCCCGTTTTAGCCGCCATGTCAGCCAGTCGGAGAGAGTTCTACACGTTGTACGTTCAAGAAGGGCTGGATTTGAGCGGCAACAACAAGAAGAAGAAAGACAAGAAAGGGTTCGAGAGAGTTCTGAAAATCGCAGATAAGATCGGATTAACCATTAAAGACGTAACCAAGCATGATTTGAACATGATCTCCGATAATAGGCCCCATCAGGGCTTGGTGCTCGATGCTTCGCCGCTAGAAATGGTTGGTATAAAGGAGTTGGAGCCCGTTTCTGCAGAGGAGGGAGAAAAGGGCCCGCTTTGGCTTGCGTTGGATGAAATAACGGACCCTCAGAATTTAGGTGCGATTATTCGTTCGGCTTACTTTTTCGGAGCTTCGGGTGTGGTTTTGTGCGCGAAAAACTCGGCTCCTTTGAGTGGGGTTGTGAGCAAAGCTAGTGCTGGCTCGCTCGAGCTAATGGAGCTTCGTTCTTGCAAGAATATGATGCAGTTTTTATCTTCGTCTGCTGAAAACGGTTGGAGGGTTCTTGGTGGGTCCGTTTCTCAAAGGGCTGTACCGTTGGACGAAATTGCCCCTGGTGATCCGACAATACTGGTTTTGGGAAGTGAGGGCACTGGTTTGAGGCCTTTGGTGGAGAGATCTTGCACTGAGTTGATTAGAATTAATGGGAATTTTCCGGTCGATTTGGTGGCGACACCTGGCGACGAAGATGGGGACAGTGTTGAGTTTTCGAGTCAAGAACTGAAGACTTTCTTGGCTGTGGAGAGCTTGAATGTTAGCGTTGCGGCTGGTGTTCTGCTTAACCACTTGATTGGGAGGAACTACGATCGCTCAGAATAATCGGTTGAGGGTATTATGGTAATAATCTGAATTCGAACTTGTGGTAAGGTTGTTCGATTCTACCGTATGACTAATGCTTTGTGTTTGTGTTTGTGTTTGTCTTGTGATGTATAGCATTCCCATGTGTGGCTTTTGGTGGGAGGACTGATTGGTTGTTCGATTTACCGTACGACTGATTACAACGGCCTTGGTTAAGGTCTTTACAGAAGTCGAAAGTTTTGTTTATTTTGTATTGAACTGTTGGACTAAATGTGAACGATATTTATCGATGTGATTGGTCTCGTTCGAATTTCGGGGCTATGTATCGTAGTTTTACATTTATTTAATTTAAATTTAACTAAAAATGCTAATTTATTCGACCGTTAAAGATTGTACTGAATAAAATGAAGGCTAATTTAATAACGTTTGGATGTAGAGAGTATATGGTTCAGGAAATAAAGTAAGTTTAGTTATATATGTTCATTATAGAGGAAATTAAGTAAAAAAAAAAATCTTGAGTACATAACTTTATCATATATATTATGCATTCTTACGAATGTGTTTGGTTAAATTTATAAGATGTTATAACGAGTTTATAAGACGTTTAAGAGCTTATAGCTCTTTTGTTTGATATTTTTTTTAAAAGATCTTACGTAACAACTTATCAACTCTTAAACCAGATTATCAAATATTAAAGTTTATCAGCTGATCAAAATAAACTATGATGGAATAAAACAAAATTAAGCTTTTATTTTACTTAATTATTGTCAATAATTTTGTCATCAAGGTACACCTATGATCTATCTGTCTTTTGATTCCCAAAAATAATATAACATAAAGCTTTATTGTGTGCTTGATTCACTACTTGTGACTAACAAATTATTTATTTTTTCTAACCCAAATAATGCCATGCATGTCAGATATTGTTTATTCAAGACACTCTCTAAGAATATTCTTTTGAACATATTCCAAATCAAATTGTATTTGAAAAAAATAATATAAATAAGAAAAACATTAAACACACACATCCATATTAATCCATGTAAATAAATAATAGATTTTTACCCAATATTCATGCCAGTGCACATTTGACCTCTCAATTAAGTTTGAAATTAATTTTATTTATTTATTTATTTATGGTAATGAAGGAACCCATAATCAACCATATAGATGCACCGGTGAAACTTGCAGTCAAACTATACTAATACGAGACATGTAAACCACATTATACTTATGTGTGACATGTTCGACTTCACGATAGTTGACAAGGAAATTTGAACATGGGTCAATTGATATATCTTCAATTGTTCCAATGGAAAAAAATAAAATATTAAAAAAATAAATAAATAAATAAAAGATGAACATTTTCCAATTTATTTGAAAAGAACGAACATTTTCTCGTACATCAGTAAAAAATATACCATAAAAAGACAGATTCTCTCTCTCTAAAAAAAATATGCCACACTTGAAAATATAAAATTACGCGCTCTCTCACATTAGCCCCCCTTTTTTCTCTCCTCTGTTCTTCTCTCTGCCCTGTTCCATCTTCTCATCAATGGCGATCTGATTGAGGATACAGGAATTGCGTATACGTAGGTAAGCATTTGTCGTACGTTCATAATCCTGGCGCATTCCACTCGTTGATTTGAATTACCGGAGTCGGAACTGAATAAATTCAACCGTTGATTGGCAGAGCCATCGCCGGCGAAATGTGGTCGCTTGATTCATTGGACGCGTTTTTGCTCGCTGCCAGCAAAGCTTGCTGTAGTCCAATCGCACTTTTCATTCAGATACAGGTAATTTTTTTTATTTTTTCTTTTTGTTTTCACTATAAAAATGTAGGATTTGTTGTTGTTGATTTTTTTTTCTATGCTTGTGCTTTGGGATCTGTATAAAAATGTAATTTGCTTCTGTGAGGCTGATTTTTTCAGTGTTAGGTATTTGGAAATGCAGCTACAAAGGTAAGAAACTGGCATTTAAGGGAATCATCTTAGGGTTATCACATGAGTTAGGAATTGATAGGCATCCATCCACACACACACATTCGAATACACGAGTCCGTTCCCGTGTAATGCCATATAACCAGGCCGCGTCGTCTGATGGCATTTTTGTGATTAGACCTCCACTAGAAACATATAAATAATGAAAGGGCAATGGAACTTTATTTTGTCACCTAATTTGTGATATAATTAATCCCGGTGTCGATTACTGGAAATCATATCTGCATCTGCTGTGATTAATATGCATCGTGTATATGATGGTTAGTAATAATCATCATGATATCGGTCTCTGATGCTTGTTTGATTACTTATCAGCATGTGAAATGTTATTCATGGTGCAGGGATTTGTTATTTGCTTACTTCTCGCTTTTGGCTGGGCCCTGGCTTCTTATGTCAGGTCAGAGTTTGATGGTCTTCGTCTAACTGTAGTGCGAATACAATGCACGGGTTATTCTTTGCTTTTAATATTGCTATTATGCTCATAGTTAATGATTTTTTTAGTAACCAAATTTATTTCGACAGGAGTAAAGAGATAAGACGGCTGAAGGAAAGCATAAAAGGTGGCAATAACTTTGCTTTTCTTTCGTATGATATTAATGACCTTGAGCATTCTAGTCAGCTCAATTTGCCAAGGGTTTCTATAGTCATGCCTTTGAAGGGTTTCGGGGAACACAATCTACATAATTGGAGAACTCAGGTGAGTTCTTCTTAAAGCTCCTAGTGTTCTTTTAAGGCTTGCTAAATTTTTAAACTTCACTTCTTCATCATGTTAGTTTTCGTTATCATTTGGTTTTGTAAATGCTGCAGATTACATCTTTATACGGTGGTCCCTTGGAATATCTTTTCGTGGTTGAGAGTACAGAAGACCCTGCTTACCATGCTGTAAAACGTTTATTAAGCGATTTTAAGGTGTGTTCTCTCCTTCAATTACCTAGATATAAGATTGAACTATGTACTCTTATGTTCTCTTATGTTCTTATGAATGCATCACTAATTTCGAGTACAATACTTGTCAGTCTGCCGATTCTTTTTCCTTTTGAAATTAAACATTCACTGTCAAAGTGCAGAGCATGAAACAGTTTAATCTTCTTTGAAAGACTTTGAATTTATCAAAGCAGTAATAGAATTTTAGTATTGGTTATGCTTTATGAAGCTATAATGTTTGACTGGTCAGAAATTTTTACTTACATACTTTTGTTTATCAATAGATGCTCTTTAGTTTTTACTATATGGAAAACACTTTTCTAAGACCTAAGCTAAGATGAACACATATTTTTGCGTTACTATTTTCATGCTGTATTTTCTTTATCACATATTCAAGTATAAGCTGCACATTCTGTATGGTAATGTAGTACTATCTATCTTCAAGTTTTTGCAGGAAAGAGATCCGCTTACCCCTTGTTTATCTTTACAACTTCAATAAAAATATATCTCTCATGTGAGTTTATAAAATTCTGCAGGATGAAGTTGATGCCAAAATTATAGTAGCCGGTCTGTCAACAACATGTAGTCAGAAGATTCACAATCAGCTGGTAAAGGGAATAAACTAGATTTTACTTTTCACATTTCATGTATTTATTGATGGATATAGTTTTCATCATTCTCTTGGATATTGCACTTCATGTATGTATTACTGTTCTTTTGCAGGTTGGGGTAGAGAGAATGCATAAAGATAGCAAGTACGTGTTATTTCTAGATGATGATGTGAGGCTGCATCCCGGGTCAATTGGAGCTCTCACTGCTGAAATGGAAAAGAACCCAGATGTATGGTCATACTTAAACCGTTTGATATTCATAAATCGATTGGTCTAGTTATTTTCATTTTTTAATGGTCGTAAATCTTCACATTATTTGTTTATAACACGCAACTTCTGATTATTGCTGAAAATTTGCAGATATTTATTCAAACTGGATACCCACTTGATTTGCCATCTGGAAGTTTAGGAAGTTACTGTATATATGAATATCACATGGTATGTTCAGCCGCGAATAACACTTGTTTCTTTTGGTACGTTGTTAGAATATCAACCGTAACCGTTGACCTTTATTTACAGCCTTGTTCTATGGGATTCGCTACGGGTGGAAAAACATTCTTTCTGTGGGGAGGATGCATGATGGTAAGAATTATATGCATGTTAGATATCAAATTTTGGCATTTCAAGATTCTTATTTTTAGTTTTTCGAATTGCAGATGCAGGCAGATGATTTTAGGACCAATCGGCACGGTGTTGTTTCAGAACTTCGAGATGGGGGCTATTCAGATGACATGACTCTTGCAGCTATCGCAGGTAATTAATTCTCTCCATCAAAAACCAATTATGTTAACCATTAAATCATCCGCGGAAACTTAGTATTTGCTGACATCACTGTTTACAGGGGCCCACAAGAGGCTCATCACATCTCCGCCAGTTGCCGTTTTTCCTCATCCACTTGCAAGCGATCTTACCTTCCCCAGGTTTTTATAGTGTGGCTGAAACTTTATTTGCACCTAATTTTTTATTTCTTTTTTCTCCAGGTCTTTTCAATCTTCTTATGCATGCAGGTATTGGAATTATTTGAGGAAGCAAACATTTGTCTTAGAATCATACACGACGAAAGTCAACTGGATTATGAACCGAGCACTGTTCTCTACCCACTGCTACTTGTCATGGGGATTTATAGCACCGTATTTAATGTCTGCAATTCACGTCGCTGCAGCACTGAGATGCTACTTCAAAGGCTACTCAGTTGATGAAGCAACTTTTCCCTTTACTGGTAAGCAAATTGCTCGTCTGTGAATATGTTGAGTAAAGGTATACAATTCGATTTTTTCTAATATAAGTGTCTCTGCTCTTTGCTTTTTGGTTTTTTTTTCATTTATTATTATTGCTGTTCTTGATTGTTCAGGGATGCTGTTGGCTTGCTGCCTTGCAACATGTACATTGATTGAACTTTTCTCAATGTCGAACTTGACAAGAATCGAAGTCAAGCTATGCAATTTGCTTTCACCGGAGGCTCCTCCTTTATCACTTGCATATTATAACTGGTCTCTCGTAAGTCCATTTCTTCTATACCGATCCATTTTACTTCATGTCTAATTTTAGATCCGTAAGTCTCTCTAATATATTGATTTTCAAATATTATCATTTGCTCGTACAACTTAAATAATTGGTTGATTTTGCAATTGAGCAGATATTTGTTGCAATGCTGGTTGACAATTTTTTGTACCCCATATCTGCGATGCGCTCACACTTTTCTCAGTCTATCAATTGGTCGGGTATCCGATATCATTTACAGGATGGGAAAATAAGCAAGGTATGGCTATTTTAGCTCCACTCCTTCACTCTAAATATTCCAATATTTGCAATTTATTAGCATTAATTCCTAACTGAAAAGAGTAATGATCTCTGATGAACAATTTTTGTTTAATTTAAACTTGTCTGAATATTCGAGAAAAATTGACTCTGCAGATTGAAAGAAGCAAGGGTAAAGGACCTAAGTACACAGATTTGGGAGGAAAGCATTTGTACGGGAAGAAAGGATCTCCAAACAACTATTCTTTTCTTCGATCGTTGTCTAGAAGTTACGTTGAGTGGCGACAACCCAAGAAATACGATTTATAGAAACGTACTACATTGTTGATAAATATGTGATTCTTTTCTTCCTTTTTTGTTGTTGCAAGTGTTACTTGGGGGTATAGCAGATGCATTTTTTATTTTCTTTCGAGAAATATCGTATTCTTGAACTAAAAGGTGAGGTTATTTGGGGCAGATTTGAAGTTGGTAGAAGTATTTGTTTTTTTGTTGATTAGATTCAATCAGTCGATTCTTCAGGTCGGGAGGTTTTTTTCATGGCCGATTCTTGTAATTGTAATGATGTTGTATAACTTTGTGAGGTTTGTTATTTATTCAAATATTTTTTATGTGTTTGATTGTAAGTATGAAATTCATTCTTGTGTACTTAAATGGGAGGGCGAAACCATCGAAAAAACGAAGAAATACCGTATGTTAACTCCCGATCAACAAAGCGACTCCGGAATTAGGCTCGACTTATCGATACGTAACTTTACGTGTTAGCTAGAAGAAAATGCATACGGATAAACTATAAGTACTCAAACAGTGGGTAAAAATCACAATCAAAGAAGTTCCAGCAGGCATTATTTAGGGCTACAAAATTGAAGGTTTGCACTAATTCAAGAATGTTAAAAAAGTAAACTTTTTGCTGCGGATACAAGGATTGATCCCTATATTAACATGTTCGTAATCGGCAAAATACAGGTCATCAAAACAAAATCGAAGAATCCAATCATTTACTTAATTAGATCTCCAACGTAGAAATCCTCGATCATGTCGAATACACGGGTGGCATGTTGCGGCCTGTTACAATTCACGAGTTATTACCATTCATCAAACAATAATTTTGAAATCAATTAGTAGAATACGATTCTCCTAAAGCGGTAAAAATATCGATTCTTTTAAATGCCCCCAAAAAAAAAACGAAGAATAACGGGTAGTGAAGAGTAACAAAGCCGTACCCAAAAAAGCCATCGGTAGAATCATCGCCAGCATGTACTAAAATGGCATCACCGCCCGGGTGTTCTTCTACATAAGACGTGACATCATAAACCTGGAAATTCACCATATATTAAACATATCATTTAAAAAGTTTATACAGAAAGTAAAATCGAATAAGTACACGAGAAGAAGATTCCAACGATCGACTAGTGTAGAGAAACCTTTTCCTTTATGATGATCCAACAATCAGTCCTCTTGTTGTGCAAAGAAACTTCCGATTTCGTGTATGCTTTGGATGCCTGAAATAAAACAATCAGGAAAATCAGTAGCAGATTCGGCAAAAACACGAGCTTTCCGGTCGAATGTTCGTGTGAAGATAAAATCAATAGTGATCCTCCAAGAACAGTAATTCAGTAATGGAAATAACAAAACAAGAAATTCAATTAATGTAAGAGTAAAATTGAATTCTATACCTCAGCACTAATTTTTGACTGCACCCCTTTTGCTTTCCCATGATCTGCATTCCACCAAATTCAATCAAATCAACCCAAATAATAATAAAACAAAACACACACACACACACACACACACATGTGTGTGTGTGTGTGTGTGTGTGTGTGTGTGTGTGTGTGTGAGTGTATAACGTACCAGATTTACGCAGGAGAGGGATTACAACGAGCAAGCCCAACACAAGACCAAGCAACAATGTGGCAACTAATAGATCCATATCTTGAATATTAGCTTTATCTATCAACAAATAAAGAAAAAAAGAAAAGTGAAAAACAATTTACGAAAAAAACCCAGGAATTATTATAGTGCTGAAACAGTTTGTTCCAGATCAGCGGCATCTCCTTCATACAGTTGTACGAAAATCGAGGAGATGTAGGAATGCGGTCGTGCGAGTACGAGGAAAGCAATAAAAAAAATTGGAGATTGACCTGAGTAGAGGCTAGAATTGAGAGCCACTCGTTGAGATTGCCGGCGGTGGTGAGATATTTCGCCGGCGGAGTAATACTAGTTTGGACTGTCGCTGATGGGTCGAATCGGGTCGGGTTCTTTTTTAAGTGACGAATTTGACTACTTTTCACGATTGGATTAGACCTACGATTTTTGTTACTTTAGATGTCTACATAAATAAGTATATTGAAACAATTAATATATTCTTACTTTATGACATATTACATCCTAAAATTTTTAATTGATGCTTGTTTTCTTACAATTAATTTTTTTTTTTTTTTGAAAATTGACCTTATAACATAGCCATATGATACAACGCAAAAGATACCCGAATTTCCGACCTCTCACCAAACTCCATTATACTTCCGTTGATCGAAGATCGATCCTTACTTAGAATAGCGGAGATGGTCAGAATGCCTTAAAATTGATTCGATTTCCTTACGGCGAGAAAAGATTCGTCCCATATGCCGATTTCCTTTGAGAAAAGATTCGTCCCATATGCCGATCCGTAACCCCACGGGTTCCAGGCTATCCATTTTGTAACCCGTAACCGACGATCCACCGCATTCGATCATTAATCTTTTTTAATTTTTAATTAAAAATTGCCACCCATCTCTTAGGTTGGCCGCGACCAGGTCTCGATATATGTGACCCGTGACCCGATGGGTCAGCCGTGGGTATGTCTAATTGTGGTAAATGTCAATTAATATGAACAATATATAAGATAGAGTTGCCAAATGCTAGATTTAGATGTAATTTTCAAAATTTCAGGAAAATCAAGATCTTTTACAAGACATTTAATTTTGTAATAAATAATAGCACTAGGGTTTGGCATATCTCTGTTCTTGACTAGCTTCTATCTATACCTTAAAAACAATTTCTTACGAAGAAAGACAAGGAACACATCCTCCTCCGCTAAGACAAGCAAAAACTTGTTTCAAGTTCCCTCTCGATGGCCTCGCATTCACAGCATATTTACATATAAATACTAATCTTTTCCGCAACTCTGATTTAGTGATACGTGTCTTGCTGAAAGATTTCCCTTCGTCGAAGTGCCCTATCGAGAAAATTTATTCGGATTAGAGACAGTGGTTTTGAACGAAATAAAAGAGATTTCTTGATTAGGCACAGTGATTTTTTTTTAAATACTCACCTGCTTCGTCATAAAACGATGTCAAAATAGCCAAACAAATGCATATGCTTATATCTTCTCCTGCAAACAAACAAACAAACAAAATGACGATGGAGAAAAGAAACAGGCTTATCTTGTAGGCAAAAGACCCGAAATTTGAGTAATTGGCAACAGTATGTCGATTGACATGCAGAAAGTTTTCAATTAGGAAAATGAAATACACGAAACCTAACTGATTTCTGATAGGTTCGAAACAAAACAAGTAAAACTCGAGCATAAACATATCACAATGGATATGCTCTAAACCATAATTTTATTTCATTATTCGGATATGTAACAGGCCAAAACACAGTTATTTTTCTATTTTTTTAATCTTGTAAAGAACAGATCACACGACATCATACATAATACATTTTATGATTGTAAGAGGAAGTTTTATGTGGTGGAAATCCAAGTAAGAGGGAATGTTTACCGTTGTTGCAACAAATTAGAAGTGTCTTCCCTTTTATCAACTGAGACTTGGCAAAGTTCAGAGCAGAAGGGAGATTCCTCAACAAAGAAACCGATCAATTTTGGAGTCCTGTTTAAGAATAAAAGAGAAGCAAACGAAAGGAAGCAACCATAAATCTATGATATGAATAAGGGGAAAAATATAATATATCTAATAAAGATTGGTCATGTGTCATACACACCATTATCGGCAAGTGCAAATACATTTCACGGTTGTCGAGGGAAACAGAAAACGACTCCCTATCACAGTTTAATATGGAGTAGGCAGGAGGTACTTCCATGGCTGCAAAATAGAATTCCGTTACACTATTTTAGGTCAGCAAAAATAATTCAACAATGCATAACCAAATGAAAAACAGACAATAAAACCAATTCATCACTATCCGAGGTCTGCTGGTATTTTAGGATTTCCAACTGCCATGCATAAAAATTTTGCTCGAAACCAATTTCCAAGTAAGGAGCCAAAAATGCGCAAATCACTAGAAGTAACATAAGACAAAGAAACGAGTATACCTAGTCGAGATTTTCCAACTGCAATATTAGTCGAGCCCAAGAAAGATATGCCATGACCATCACTTGACCTCTCACCCTCAGCCACAATTCCGTTATCCAACTCTAAGAACTCCTCTATGGGAAACTCACTTGTGCTTCCCGAACCTTTTAAATTTCTAACAGACACCTGAGGGGCAATTTCCCCCCTTTGAGCACGACGAACTCGTTCTTTTTCAATCAAATCTGCAATCTTCTGATTGCACAAATCGGGACCCGAGCTTATAACATCATATGCATGTTTCCAAAACACATTGGGCGATAGACCCCTAGCCCAACTTTCCTCATCATCTCCAGCTCCAGAAATATAATTCCAACTAAATTCAGAGGTCGTTCGCTGCTGAAAAATACCACTTGAGGAAGATGCCGAAACAAGTATAATTGGTGTAAAATCCCATGAATCAAACTCGGGTACTTCGTTCAACCAGATAACAGTTCTTTGTGAAATCCATAACGGTCTTAGGGGTTTTCTTAGTGATGATGCAATAGAGGCGATATCAGCTCCACTTGACTCAAATTCGTTTGTCCAATGTTCCAAACGTTTTTCGATCATTGATTTCTCGGTTTCCGAAACCCAGAGAGGGAGATGCAAGGAACAATCCCAACCAGAAGAGTGCTGTCCAAGATTGTCGATCTCGTCATTTGAAGTGGTTGATTCCTGTTAGTGTGTTCAAGTCATTATTCGAAAGCAATTCATTTAAGGGTCTATGATAGAGTTTAAAAGCAATAATTTGGAAAGGGAAATATTCCACTCACATTCTCTGGAGAATCGTGTTTGTCCAGTCTTGTTCGATAATTGAAAATCGCTCGATTTAAAACACATGTCCAAATTGGAATAGTCTTGGACATGCTGTCGGGAAACCTCTTCCCCTTTCGAGTTGAATCCACTATTATGCATCCTCCCCTCTGTCCTACCCATGAAAAAAACATATAGGCTAGTCATTACGCGTTCCGTATTTACCACAGCTGGCTCACATGGACCACACACACACACACACACACACACACACACACACACACACACACACACACACACACACACACACACACACACACCTGATATCCAATACACAATTTAAACATATTGAATTTTCATATTTTTCTTTAATGTTACCACTTAACACCCATTTTCATCTTCTTCCAAGATATTAATTTGGAATGGCCTGATTTGTTAATTAATGGTTACTTAAAAAGCATTACTCAGTCTCTATTAATTGATGAAATCGATGGTATTTCGTCAAATTGATGAATTCAATTTTCCCAAAAGTTATAAAATTGAAGAAATTGAGTGAATGACAGACACAATTTAGTCAAGGGGAATACTGAAATGAACCCTAATTGGGAAAAAATTGCACAAATCAGGAAAATTTTGTTTTAAAAGATGAATAAGATACCTGCGAGGAGGGCAACGTGTAGATTTAGGCGGGAGGTGTTGAAAGATAAATTGTTGGTGTGGCCGTCGGTGGATTTGAAGTAGCAATTGAAATCGAACTTGGGAGAGTACCAAAGTCCGCATCGGAGATTGGCGACGAGCGGCAGCTCCGGCCAGAGCTGAGAGATTTCTCCGACGAAGATGGAGTCCTCGTAGATTGATCGCAGGGCGTTGTAGAGTGTACTCTCTCTCCGTTTAATCTTCCTCGCTATTTTGTATATGCTTTGCTTCTCGTCCGCCATTGCCGTTCGGTTCGAGGAGGAGATGACGGCTGATTTGCTGCTCTGCGGGAAATGTCGAATCGGCGCTTCTACATGTACATCTTGGCTTAATTCCACCTTGCACCCTCTAAGTATAGTATTTTTTGTTATTTTGCACCCTAAAAAAATATTAATACCATTTTGTACCCCAATTAATATTTTAACGGTAAATTACGGCCATCCAAAACCCCCTCGTGTTTGGGTAATTACAACCAACACCCTGAACTATGAATCTTCTTACACGTTCACCCTTGCGGTGTCAAATTTAGTGGAATCTTCTAGATTATATGGAATATTCTCAAGTTGTACACGTTTTATTCTATTCGAGCTCCACATTTTGAAACAATAAGATCACAAGATGTGTTTTCTGGCTTGCAAATATATATCAGATTGTGGTGCATCAGAAATTTAATTTTTGCATAAAACGAGTAAAAACTAGAGAAAATTCCATGAAATCTAGAAGATTATGTTGAATTTGACAACACAATGGTGGACATGTAAGCAGATTCATAACTCAGGGGTAATTGTCATTATCCAAACATGATTTTTTTTTTCCTCGTAATTTGACCTTACCTCAGGGATGATTGTAATATACCCATATTTTAATAAAACTCTCTCAATTAATTATTGATTTTCTTTAATACAATAAATATAATTTTCAAGTAATTTAATGAGAATTGATAACTACCCTAGGTCAAGTACACATTGTTCTAATAAAAAAAATAATTAATTATATTTTTTTGTTCGATATTTCAGATTCTGATTCCAATTCGATTTTAGTAGTGTGCATGTGTATTGGAAAGTCATTCATAACACAAATAAAAATTTAAAAGAAATCGACAACGGAATAAAATTGTTTATATATTATGTGAAGGTAATAAATTAAAAACATGAATTTTAGATCACACAAATGCCAAATAAATACTTGAAAACAAGCCCTACTATTACTATATGTAACAATATGGGCACAAATGACCGTTTTGCCCGCGTGAGGAAGATTCTCATGCATGCATGCATGATGAACAAACAAATAGACTAACTAAAGAGAGCGCGTGGGCTTTCGGTAATTAGCAGCATTTGTGAGGGCGCGTGAGGAAACAACAGAAGAAGCAGGATTAATGGCTTTCCTAATCTTAAAAACATTCCAAGCAGTTCCAGCACAATGCCCTGCACTTGCTAGAGCATCTTCTGTAGCTTCTCCTGCACTCTCTCCAAACCTAATCACACAATTATTTTCCACGTCACATTTTCTATTAAAAAAAATTAAATAATAATAAAAATGCTTTGTTTTTATTTTTAATTTTTTTAGGGCAAAATGCACTTTGCCCCCTCTAAATTTCTGTTTTTTGCACTTTCCTCCCCAAAAAAAAATTGATATTCCCCCTTCAAAATATTATATTGATTGCATTTTGCCCCGTAAGCCAATTTTTCGAGGGCATTGTGCAACAAAAATATTTTAAAGGGGCAATGTGCAAAAAAGTAATGTTTTTAAGGGGCAACTTACAATAAAAATAACGTTAAAAGTGGCAACGTGCAACAAAAATCCTCAATTCCAATGAATAATCCATCAGAATTTTGCTATCGGGTCAATGTGCAGCAAGAATAATATTTTGAAGGAGGACATTCACTTTTAAAAATTTTGAGAGGGCAAAATGCGAAAATTAGAAGTTTACAGGGGATGAAGTGCAATTTACCCTTTTCTTTATTTACCTGTTAGAGACCATCTTTGTAACTGCACCAGAAGGTGGCTGAAATGGCTTGCTTCTCAGCAGCTCTGCTGCATCTATTATTTTGTCGGTTGTTTCACAATAATATATACATATATATAACTCATTTAATTAATTTATTTTCTCACTCCAAAAAAAAATATTAATTAGTTGATTATTGAAATAATTACTATACTTACTAACAGAATCAAGGGAAGCCAAGAGAACCTCTCCGGGTACCATGGAAAGGAACGTTTTCCCGGCTTGTGATCGAACGGCGGGCCCCACCACCGAACCTGTCGCAACACCGACAACATCGAGCATCGCTTTGCTCATTTTTTCTGTCATTTTCGACAATTTCCTCACACTAGATAGTAGTTAATTAATTAGTGAAGGGAGGTATATGTGTTATTTTCTATAAGTCGAGGGGCCGGAATGTAAATTAAGACTTACCGTTTGAGGGTTTTGTTGATAGCACCTTTCTTTTTATTTGCAGCATTATTATTATTATTATTATTCATGCTGTTGCTTTGTTTTGATGGTGCCCAGTTTTTCTGGTCTGATGCACGAATCAAGATTGTTTCTCCTCCTTTCTGCACCTGTTAATTAATCATCCATTAATAAATCCCCATAGGAAAAAATTAAACAAAATTAAATCTAATTACTATCAATTAAATAAATGTTTTTTTGCTCACGTCATAATACTAAAATTTCATGCAAAATAGGAAAGAAAAAAAACTATATTTACAAAGTTATTGCGTGTAAAAATTGTAACATGACAAGTTAGAGGACTAAATCCATAAATATGCCAACATAGAGGACTAAAACTTAATTAAACAAACTATTGTAATTAATTACCGAGTAAATTATGAAAACCCCTTGAACTTAGGCAAAATTACAAAAAATACCCCACCTATCCGTAAATACTAAAATCACCCCGACGTTTGGTTGCGTCTTACACTGACCCCCTTAAGATGTGATTTTTGACGGAATCTGGTTGAGTCCAAGGAATATTTCTCGAAAAATGTCAATTATACCCGTGCAGACGTGCAATTTTTTTATGTTGCTTTTTAAAGGTAAAAATTACTCTTAAGGGGTAATGATAATACTAAAAAAATGTGAATATGTCATTATAAGAAGGATTAAGATTCCGTTTTTATCCCTCAAAAGTAGCATAAAGAAATGCCACATCTACATGGGTAGAATCGACATTTTTCAGAGAATATTCCCTGTAATAAAAAAAGATTTCGTGAAAACTCGCATTGAAAGGGGTTGGTGGTGTAATATTGGAACACACATCAGGGGTATTTTGATAATTACGGATAACTAGGGTGTTTTCATAATTTAACCTAAGTTGAGGGGGCTTTTCGTAATTTACCCTTACTCACCTGATTAGTGTAAGCATTGCTGCACTTGAATATACCCTTAACAATCTGGCCCGTCCCGCCGGCAATCGCCTTCGCCAGAACACTGTTGTAATCATCGACAACCGGCGCGAATTCCTTCCAGTTAATCACGACGTTCTCGTTTCCATTAATTCTTGACGATGAATTAGGACAACTAGTAGTGAACAAAGAGTGTTCTTCAAGAAAAGAATCTAGTTTATTCGTTCCCGTTGTTTGGGCAGCAGCATCTGATCCGATCCTCTCGGAAAACGAAACACCGTAGCTCAAGGGCTTGCCGTCGTTCATCGGGAGAGAGAAGAGGTAGTGAGATTCGTCGAGCTTCACAACTGGCTCGTCTTTCGTGAGCGGCCATTGGAGCTCGCCACCGACTTTAACGGCGGTGGCGAGAGAGATACTTCCGTCGAACAATCGGAAGAGCTCGAAATCGCCTGCGGCGATCTCGAGGGCTTCTCCGCCGTCCATCAGGTGGACCTTGCATCCCGGGATTGTGAGAAGAGTGTCGTGTTTGACGTTCTTGTTTTCCGGGATTTCTTGATATTGTTCTTCGTTTGTTGGTGGGGTTTTCGGAGGGGAGAGAGTTTTTGATTTCTTACAGCAGTTCATCTGATCTGTAATTTGTGTATGGAATTTTTTTTAATGAAAAGGAATGATGAGTATATAATAGTGTAGATGAAAAAAGTTTCATGAGCTGTAAAAAGTGATTCCATAATTTGTGGCTTTATTCTGTGCTTAATGAATAAGTTGATGCCAATGTATAAATGTTGTTACTTTCGGTGGATGGAGAGGAATGTAGAATTTTATTATGTTTATTTTGTAATATGGTATTTATGCTTTTCTAAATTTAGGCACATTAAAAAAAAACTCCTGAACTTAGACTAAATAACAATAGTTAATCATAGGTGGATTTTAGTTAGTATTATTTAGACTAAGTTTAAGGTTTTTTTTTATTTTAATTTACCCTTAAATTTATTTAGATACAATATTATTATGTATTTTATGTTTTAGGTGACAAAAAATTAAAAATTTCCGAATCCCACCAATTCCGATCTAGAATCTTCCAATTTTGAAACAAATTTTTTCATTTCAATTTCTAAAATTCCGATTTCAATATGGTTTTTTGAACATAATGGGAACTAATTTTTTCACTTCAAAAAAATCAGATTCTTTTCGAAAGGGCTAATTCCATCTCGATCTGTTCCGTATGATTTACGCCCCTACTCGTGGCCATTGTACTCTTAACTATTTAGAACCGCACAATGAATACTAATCAACTACAACACGGATGGATACATGCTCATTAATTCGGAGAGTCAACTGATAGAAGAAAACAAGATCAAAATTAAACCTCCCAAATGATTGAATAATTAATTAATTAATTAGGTCAACATTGATAATAATTTTGTTGATGGGATTGCTAGATCTAGATTGCCCCTCTTAATTATTTCCACTTGCAGATACGTATTATTTCCAATTTTAATGCAGTTCAATAATTGATTTAAAAAAAAAAAAAAAAACTACTCACATAATTCAAATCTTGAAGTAATTTAGTGGCTTAATTTCGCTTTGCAGCCTTGAAATATACTATTTTGGTATTGCATCATCGAAACAAATTAATAGTATTTTGCATGCTGGAAACACAATAAATCATGCATAATGCACCCCACGTGAGTTTTTTAAGCTAATAAAGCTAATTTAGTATTTTTAGTGGTGATGGGTTCGATTTGGCAAACTGCCATGCTCGTATCAACATTTGGGCTTGGAGTCCATTGGTGGACCGTGGTCCAATAATGTTATGCTTAATGGGCTCGGAATTTGGTCAAACTTTAAAGATAGGTAAGACTTATAAATACACCACATTCTCCTCTATAAAATGTACGATTTATTTACACACAACACATACTTCTACACACACTAAATCACAGAATCAAATCACATATCTCACATACTCTTTCTTGAACCATTTCCCCAATTAACTTGAGCGTCGGAGGGTCTCCCGAGGGCTCAAGTGCCGGAATTTCAGGTGAACGGAGCAATTTTCCGGCGATCTAGATCGCAGAAGGTGTTCGAGAAAAGCCAATGTTGGTGGTGGTAAAATTGACCGCCATCAAGTGGTGTTTAAAAATTATATTTAAGAAATGTTGGGGGAGTCATGTCACTCTCTAGTTCTATGTTGTCTCCACCACCTCCTGAAACTAATAGGCCGGTAGAACTCTATCGGAATCACGTATCCAATGCATTGTAACGATACAGTTTCCAACAATGTTTCAGGAGGTGATTGTAATTACCGATACCATAGGACCTTAAATTTATTTTAGCATATCTCAGGAGTGTAGGTATAATTTCCCCAATTAATTTAAAATAGAATCTCAACTCAAAGTGTGCACGTGAGAATTGAGATGTATGTCTATATAATAAAATTAAATATATATTATTTAATGATTAAATATAGCCGCCCTTTATTTATTGCTTTCATGATTATTTTAATCCAATTTTAATCGTGCAATTTGCCCTCTGACTTCATCGGAAGCAACATAAGTCAACATCGTAGATCAAGTTGCTCCGCCACCAATTTCACTCTATAAATCAATTTATCAAACAGGTGATAGGCACCCCAAAAAATCTCTGCTTCCACCACCTTATTCAGTAAAAGCTCCGATCAAATTACACCGGAATAATTATGCCGTCGTTGATTGACTTGGATGAAATGTTCGACCTCGATTTCTCCATGACGATGCCGGAGGATCCCGACACGGAGCTCGACAAGCAGCGGTGCGATGCGCAGGCCGCGGCCTCTGCCCGCCACATGGTCGACGAAATGCCCACGGTGGTGGTGGTTGTTGGCGGCGGCGATCACTGCTCTGTTTGTATGGAAGGTTTTGGGTTGTTCGACGGCGCCGGTGGAAAGCAAATCCACTGCGGCCATGTCTTCCATGATAACTGCATCTTTCAGTGGCTGTCGATCCGTGATTCTTGCCCACTCTGCCGTGCGAGAGTCTCCGGCGCCGGAGGAGTTATTTTATAATTATTGATTTTTTGTTCTTTTGTTTTGCTCCCTTCTATAATTTTAATTTCAGTATTAATATTATTTCACATTTTTTTTATTTTCGGCTCTCGATCTTACTGTATATAATTATTCTTTTATATATTATTATTCAGTAATATGTGATTATAACTAGTTACGTTGACTAGATAATATATGAAATTTATCAATTAAATTGCTAAGTGAAATAAACTAATTTAGAAAATATTTATTAAAAAAAGAAGAAAAATTGTGATGTCAACTGCTAATTTATTACAACTAGGGGTAAGTACTGTTGAGTGTTAAACCCTGAACTATAGGCTTCATTTCAAAATGGGGCAAATTACCAAAACCCCCCTGAGGTAAGCCTAAATAACGAAAATCCCCCCCATGTTCTCGTAATTACGAAAACCCCCCTTGACTAACGGTTGACCGAATTTTTTTAACCGAAAACGTGAAATGTCTATTATATCCTTCTGTTAATATGTAAAAAATAAAGGGCAAATTACCAAAACCCCCCTGAGGTAAGCCTAAATAACGAAAATCCCCCCTGACATCCCTTTCAGTTGATGATTTATTGCTTTTATAAATTTATTTATTACTTTGTAATTTGTATTGATAATTTGATATTATAAGTTTTTATTTTTTTTATTTATATATTTTAATTGATTTTATTTATCCAGAGGAGTATTCATACGGATTTATGCTTTTAGCTTGAATGATGCATGGTTGTATTTCTCGAATTGTAAAATATTTAATTTTATATATAAAAAATAATTAAATTTTGAAATCTCATTCATTGATTTTTTTAATCCAATAAAAATACATTGTACATTCATAATGATTGATTATATTTGGGTTTAATTTAAGAAAAATAAGTATTTTGCAGACACTTATATATTTTTTTATTTATATATTTTAATTGATTTTATTTATCCAGAGGAGTATTCATACGGATTTATGCTTTTAGCTTGAATGATGCATGGTTGTATTTCTCGAATTGTAAAATATTTAATTTTATATATAAAAAATAATTAAATTTTGAAATCTCATTCATTGATTTTTTTTAATCCAATAAAAATACATTGTACATTCATAATGATTGATTATATTTGGGTTTAATTTAAGAAAAATAAGTATTTTGTACATTCATAATGACCCCTCATTAAATAAAATGCTTACAATTACCCCCCTAAGGTTAATTTCGTGTACAAGGGCAAAATTGGTATTATCGGAGGAATATTCGGGAGAATCAAAAAGATTCTATCGAGTCTAACACCGTTAGAGCGATTTGTAAGACGTCTGCATACCTCAGGGGGGTTTTCGTAATTACGAGAACATGGGGGGGATTTTCGTTATTTAGGCTTACCTCAGGGGGGTTTTGGTAATTTGCCCTTTCAAAATGTCCCCTCAATTATAAACTGAGATAATTTGTAGTAAATTCCACTTTCTCCCTCTGTACTTTGGCTCGATATCAATTTACCTCATTTTACTCTCGATTGCATTGATTTTCCCCTTGTACTAGAAAAAATGTCTCAATGTTGGCCATCGTCGTAAGTTTTCAGACCTTTGAACTTATGACCGTTTGATTTAAGTATGAAAATTACAAAAAACCACCCCTCCCAATTTAAATAATTATTAAAAATATTTGACAACGGTCGCTAGGTCGAATTGTCACACACGGTTAGCCTAGTTGCGGGTTCCTTCATTAAGGAAAAAAAAAAACTCCATCCGCTCAAAATATTTTTTATTCTCCCTCTTTTATTTTTCATTAAAGTAATTCCTTAAAAATCTCGAACTTTTCTATTAAATTTACTTGAAATACTTAAGATAGGTAAATTACAACCACCACCCTAAGGTAATGTGCAATTACAAAAAACCCTTTTTATTTGAGAAATTTCATCCAGCCCATGTAGTTTGTAATTTCTTACATTCACCTCCCTAAAAAGGGTGTTAATGTAAGAAATTTACAAATTTCAAGGGAATGAATGTTGTAATTATTGAAAAATAAGGGGGGTTTTCGTAAATAAACCTTACCTCGGGGGAGCGGTTGTAATTTACCCTACTTAAGATATAACAAAGTTAAACAAAAAGCTCAACTCCTCAACAACCATGCACATAAATCATAATAACTAATATTTATTTTAGCAATTAATTAGCATCAAAATATTATAAGAATTAAACATGCCAAAAACGTTCATCTCGTGGCCTCACAAAATTAAATAAACATTATTTTAATATTTGCTACCTAAATACTCCACTTTGAAAAAACTAAACTTAATTAAACCATCATCATGCATGTATTGGCTTTTATCTATAAAAAGTAAAGGCACAAAATACAATAATACATATATCATCACCACATGAATATATATATCTATATGTATATAAATATATGCATAAATATTAATGATATAATTCGTAGGATGAAATATTAATTATTGAATGATAGGATATTTATATTTTTTTATGATCTTTATAAAAGTCTTGCAAGGTAGATATAGAATAAGTTTTGGCTTCTTGCTTCTCTTTCCGTAAAGTAGAACGAACGCGTATAATTGATTTACTTTTTATATGACAATTGCTGAATTATATACTCACGAAGGTATTTGGCTAAATTTATAAGCTGTTAAAATGCACAAAATATTTAAGTGCTTATAAGCTTTTTCAAGGTGATAGGTAATTTTTTCTTTTAATTTTAAAAATTCAAAAAATAAGCAGATAATTTAAAAATAGCTTATAAGCTTATTATTTAAAAAACTTTAAAACTTGATTTTAAAAATAAGACATAACATTTTATCATTTCTTACAAACAACTTATAAGATATAAGCTCTAAAATACGTTTATCTAAACGGACACTTGATAATTAGATAATAAATTTACTTTTTTATCCTCAAAACGTGATGCGATCCACAATAAATAAAGTCAAATTAAATATAATAGTGTTCTTCGTGGAAATGAGATCTGAAAAAATAGAATAAAATGACAATCAAACCAAAAGTTAAAGCAAATAGAGGGGGAACATATTATGAAGACCAAGTCCACAACAACCCAATTTAAATATATATAATTGTAGAATTTTTTTATTATTTATTTTGAGAAAAAAACTAACAGATTTCATTAATCTAACGACTCATAGCATACAATATCCTGAATAAAACTCGGTAAAATATTCGAAGTAAAGAATTCCACTGAAGATAACCTAGCAATTTCGGGAGCTGCTCGATTACTTTCCTCGTGACATGACAAACTTTGAAAGCTTTGAAACCTTGCGTCAATCTCTTAATATCGAATAGTATAACTGTTATAGAATGAGACATGCCTTAAGCATTCCGATTCTCTCCTTCCCTCCAAAATAAAATTTTCAATACACAACACACATACATAATTTAATGTTTTTTTTATCAAAAATATTTAATTTTATTTACAAAAAAAGATTATCTAGAATAATTATTTGATCTCTAACTCTGGATTTTTTTTTTGGGCAATCCTTTTAAGTCAATTTAACTAATTATAATTTATGAATCTAAGAACATACGAAATTTGAAAAATAATGTTGGTCGAAGAAACCGGGAGTTTCTATCTAACAAATTAAAAGGTCAACATTACCCTCTTTTGCAATTAATTAAGGGGTAAATTATAAATAAGAAATTATATTTAATTAATGTTTGTTTATTAAATAAGGGTAAATTGCAAATACTCCTGAGGTATGGTCAAATCACGAAAAAAATCTCTGATGTTTGGATAATTACAACTATCCCATCAACTATGAATCTTCTTACACGCCCACCCTTATAGTGTCAAATTCAACATAATCTTCTAGGTTTTCCGTGGAATATTCTCTTGTACTCGTTTTGTACAAAAACGTAGTTTCTGATGCAACAAAATCCGATATATACAAGCCAAAAAACACATCTTGTGATCATCTTGCTTCAAAATGTGGAGCTCGAATGAGATAAAACAGGTACAAAATTGAGAATATTCCATATAATCTAGAAGATTCCATTAAATTTGACACCACAAGGATGGACGTGTAAGAAAATTTATAGTTGAGAGAGGTTGTTGTAATTATCCAAAACATGAAGGGGCTTTTCGTAATTTGAACATACCTCAAGGGGTTGGTTGTAATTACCCATTAAATAATTCTGTTAATCCAGCTTATAATGGAGTACAGAATAATGCAGATGTGACTTTCTTAGAAATACAAGTCCAAAAGCCGATCAACAACTTACCCTATATATATAAATCAAAGCCCCAAACAGATCAAATTAAATCCGCTTTTAGCTTCTCTATAATCTCTATCTGCTTTTTTTTCTCTCAACTTCTCTTTTCAGCTTAATTATACACAACAATAATCACACACACAAACACACGTTTACACACAGTATATATATATATATATCTGTTGTCGTCGTATATATATATATATATATATATATATATATATATATATATATATATATATATATATATTATTTAATTCCATGGATGAAATGTTCGATCTGGACATGGCTTTGACGATGCCCGATGATTCAACAGTGGAGCTCAGCAAGCACCGCCGTGATGCTCTATCCACGGCGGCGGTCTGCGAACTTGTCGGAGAGATGCCGACGGTGGTTGTTGGCGGCGGCGGCAGATGTGCAGTTTGTATGGAGGGATTCCAGTTAGACGGCGGCGGCGCCGGCGGTGGGAAGAAAGTCCCATGCGGCCATATTTTTCACGAGAATTGCATTTCTCAGTGGCTCTCCGTCCACGATTCTTGCCCCTTGTGCCGGGGAAATGTCTCCGGTGCCGGAAAAGTTGTTTCGTAATTTATTATTATTTTATTTCATTTTAGTCCGAGTTTATTATTTGTTTATTTCTCTTCTTTTCGTTTTTTTATCGACAAAGAGCAAGAAAAATTAAATTAGAATATTACAATTTTCATCCCTCAAGGTTACAGATTTCGCATTTGGTTTCCTATGTTTACAAAAAATATATTGCTCCCTCCTGTTCAATAATTTAACACGTTTTGTTCTTTTTGTCAATTTACCGTTACTCCGTTAGTTAAGGCAGTGATGGTCACACGTTTGATTCCATTAGTACTAACGAAAAAATCACGTAAATGACTAAAAATGTTGAATTTTTTAAACAAGAGGGACCAAATATTTTTTTTTGTGAAGATAAAGGACCAAATGTAAAATTGGTGTAAATATGAGGGACTAAAAATGTATTTTGAATCTCTACACTCAAATTTTCATCTGCAATGGATGAAACAAATTGGTACGTATTTTGATATTCGACTTTCGAAATACAAAAATGCATGTTGCGAAAATGAGGCATCAGTAAATTAACTACCCTTGCTCAAAATAAAAAAAAATCCCAAATCACCTATGACGAACTCACATGTGTCGATTTTACATATATTTATACTTATATTTTTTAAATTTGATGGTTCATTTAATGCTTGCGGTTGGAGTAAATGCGTTTCAAAACAATAGAACCAGCATCAAATTAATCTTCGAGGATTGATTTTTAATGTTTTGCCATTGAAGTTGCTCCATAAAATTTATGCTAAATCTAATTCTTCATAAAGTTTTTCTTTTTAGATTAAAAAAATTGGAATTTCAACTCATGAAATAATATTCACCAGAATGTTTCCATAACGAATCATATTGACTGTTACACTTAAATAATGATGATATAATAATAATGGTTGTTGAATATTTCCTATGACTATATTTTCTTGTTGCAATTGATTTGATCAAGCCAAATAATAATATTATTTGTGTTGAACACATTCTTATTTTCTACTTTAAAAATAATTAAATGTGTATTTTTTTTTTAATAAAGTGGAGTTCGTTTAGATATATTATAGAAGAAAACATCCAAACAAAACAAATGGGGTATCAGTTTTAAATTCAATTAAATAAATTAGGTTTCGTTTGGTTGACAGATGGTTTTGATTTTCTTTTTATTTTATATTTTTGGCCATTGAATTAAATTACAATATTTGACTAAATTTTTGTTTTAATATTTACGCTACTCAAATAATACTCTCTAGAATAAATATCTTTGACAAATTAATTATTTAATTGATAGTAGCTAGTAAATATTTTTTTATTAAACAATCCAAATTAAGCACAAAGAAATATCTTTTTGTTTTTATTTTATTACAATGAATGAATAGATAAAGATATATTATTTGACCGGAAGTCAATACTAGTTGCTTATTCTTGTTAGTATTGACAAATCAACGGTCAATATTTAACTAAATTTTGTGACGAAAGCGATTTTCTTGATGATCAACTAGTCAAAGAAGATGAGAACCGAACGAAAATTAAAGTTAAAACCAAAAAGCATTTCACATGCACCAAATCCACAACTACATGTCAACTATAAATATAAACTATATAATTGTTCTATACTTATATATATATTTAATTGGGGCAATTACGACCAACTCCGTGAGGTAAGATCAAATTACTAAAAAAATTTGCTTGTTAGGATAATTACGACTACCTCTTTCAATTATATATTGTTACGAAAAAACCTTCATTCAGTTGGTAAATTTGACTCTATGGGGGTGGACATGTAAGATAATATATAATTGAGGGGTGATTATAATTATCTAAATATGATGGGTTTTTTCATAATTTAACCTTATCTTATGGGGATCGCCATAATTTGCCCTATTTAGTAATTCTACTCTTAAGAATTATATGGAAGTGATATTGTATTTTTTACCCTAAGAACCATGCAAATTGATTAGTTTTTCTAATGCATGTTTGTAAATAAACCCACAAATTCAGAATACGGTAAGTGATAAATGTCGTTTCAGTTTTATATATTAATCTCGTTTCAGTTGTAAACACGATTTTGACAATTTTCAAGTCTGAATCTGGAAAAACTTAGAACATGAGATTTGTAGTTCTTTGAGTTAACTTTCTAATTCAACTTGAATCACCAAAATTGAATCTCGGGTGAGAAAGATATACATGAACCAATGAACATTGCCTAAAACTTTGATTTTTTAGTTATGTAAAATTCAAAATATAACTGACTATTCATTCACGCATAACTTTTTCACTCAATATTCAATTTAGTTAATTCAAGTTGGATTAGAAAGCTAACACGAAGGACTACAGTTTTCGTGCTTTAAATTTTAACAAAATCAAACTAGAGAAGCATTAAAATTTTGTTCGAAATTAAAACACTATTAATAAATTTAAAACGATATTTAACATTTCAAAATAGAAAATTTAACTGATTGGGTTGGCGGGTAAACCCGTCCAGATTCGCCCATTAAAATGAATCCGGATCTAACCCAAACCCGGTTCAATCTTTTTCCAGAACCGAGAAAATGAAACAGAATCAAAGATAAGAACACAAAAAGAAACGAATCTAATCATGGCGACTTCAAGCAAAGAAAAGATTCCAGAATATTCGAGAATCTCCGAACTGAACTGTATCGATGTTTCGGATCCCGATACTCAATCCACTGTTCTTCTTCTTAAAAAGGCAAACCCTCTCCTTTTTTTTGTTAAATTAATTGTTATCGATTAATTTTTTTTGGGGTTTTAGGGTTTTGTTAGATTGTGTAATTAAGATTAAATTTATTGTTAAATTAATGATAGTTTGGAGAAATTACATTGAACACAAATTACTGTTCATGCAAATGTTATTTTCCTGTTGATTTACATTCTTAATGTAATATTAAATAATTTGATTTTGTAGTTTGAACTATAGGCTTGCTTAGAATCTGGATTCTTCTACGTAATCAATCACGGAATCGACGAGGAATTCATTGACGAGGTTTTCGATCAAAGCAAACGCTTTTTCAATTTGCCTGTTGAGGAAAAAATGAAGCTTTTAAGGAACGAGAAGAATCGAGGCTATACTCCTCTTTTCGATCAATCTTTGGACCCCGTCAATCAAATAAACGGTTGCTGCTTTTTACGTTTTTACTATTTATCTCAAAATCACTCGATGCAGTAAAATAAAAAACGTAAATTTATAGCGAATGCATTCGACATATTTTTCAGGGGACTACAAGGAGGGTTTCTACATTGGTATTGAAGTACCCGAAGATGATTCCGATGCCGAGAAACCGTTCTATAGTCCGAATTTATGGCCATCTGTTGGTAATTTTTTATAAAGAACTGCGTTTAACGACAAATTTAGCTTTACTTTACTTGATTATTGCGAACATTTTTTAACTTATCGAATTCTTTGTTTTCGTAAAAGATATCCTGCCCGGATGGAGAGAAACTATGGAGAAATATCATCGGGAGGCACTGTAAGTATTTATCATTCGGATGAATATTATTTTTCGTTCAATATAGCAAAAAAGCGTGACACGATTTTCATTTAGTAAAAATGAAAAAAATTGATTTTTTTTAAATTACTCTTTTATTCGATTTTCGGATGTTTGTAGAGAGGTAGCAAGAGCAGTGTCACGATTGATCGCCCTTGCACTTGACCTAAACTCCGATTTTTTCGATCAATATGAGATGCTCGGAAAACCTACAGCAGCCATAAAGCTGCTTTACTATCAAGGTGAGGATTGTCAAGATGTTCAACCCATGCAATTAATAAAATCGAAATTGATATTATCAATTAATCAAAGTTTAATAACGGTGATTAACTGCAAATTAGATCGAACTTCTGAGCCGGCTAACGGAATATTTGGAGCTGGCGCACATTCGGATTTTGGTTTAATTACGCTTTTAGCCACGGATGATAACTACGGTCTTCAGATATGTAGAGACAAAGATGCTAAGCCTCGATTATGGGAATATGTACCACCACTTAAAGGGTGAGCCTTCTTTATATATATATATATATATATATATATATATATATATATATATATATATATATATATATATATATATGTATATAATTCCATTTTTATCGAGTGTACGTGGCGAATAACAATTTGCCTTTTCAGGGCATTCATAGTAAATCTTGGTGATATGCTGGAGCGGTGGAGCAACTGCGTTTTCAGGTACTTATCGGCCGATTTAATATTAAATCATTTTAGTCGATTTTAACTGATTCTATTTTTTTTATATATATACACTAGTTTTGACTTATTCTTGATCTCTTTAACTCATTTTTGACTGATTTAATATTTTTCTTGGTTAGTTTTTAAATACTTTTTTACTGCTTAAATCTATTTTGATCGATTTTTCTCTTGGTTACAGATCTACGCTCCACCGAGTATTGGGTAACGGGCAAGAAAGATATTCTGTAAGACCTTTCTAAAACTCTGTATTATCACTGACTGGGAAAAGAAAAAAAAAAAAGGACAAAAAGAGGTTGACTTGATTCTTGATTTTTTTCGGCTTTTTTCATGAGCAGATAGCGTTCTTCGTTGAACCTAATCACGACTGCATTATCGAATGCCTGCCGACTTGCCAATCAGAGGAGAATCCTCCAAAGTGTGCACAATATTTAAAATTCTCTACCTACTTTTACGTAAATTCTCTTACGTATATTCTTACATGTCCGAATGATTTCGCAGGTTCACTCCGATAAAATCACAAGATTATCTGCTTCGGAGGTATAGCGATACTCACGTCAACCTCAACTTGTACAAATGATTGAACAACTTGATCTGTCGTAACAACTAACTCGAATCTTACCGTGTTGTCAAATCTTCGTTATCTACCGCGATTGTAATTAGTCCGAATTTTATCATCTTTTACTAATGTAATTATTTATATACTTGATAAATTTATCGTATCATCGAAATTTCTTAAAAATATACAATATATAACTGTACTAGATCTTGAAGTGTTTTAATATCGTGGTTATTTTAACAGATTTAATAAAATATGTGTAATAAAAATTATTATATAAAAT